CACTGATGTTTCTATCTCTCTCTCTCCCTCTCCTTTCCTCTCTCGGAAATCAATAAAGATATATATTAAAAAAAAAAATAAAAAATTAGGCCTTCCACTGCGGTTCCTCTACAGTGAGTGACTCCCACTTATCATAAGAAAGAATAGAGGAGACTGACCCTGGGTGTATGGGGGGCTCTGTCATGATTGGTTTCAATCAATAGTTGACAACATGGCTTTGACAACATGGCTAGAGGCATTTGTGAAAGGAAATCACACGCAGTGTTTTCCATCATTTATATCACTGGAGTGAATAGAAAGTGACACTACAAACTCCGTTAAAAAGAATCCCTAGTGAACATAAATAAAGAAGTTATAAAGGTATTTCATTTCCTTCCTTTTCTCTTTCTAGAGGAAAAAATAAAAAACAGCTGAACAGTTTGAGGTGAGAAATGTTCTAAAGGAACTGAAACATATACTGAGTTTCATCCCCAACTTTGAAAAACTTAGTTAAATCCAGGGAAAATCGTGTGTTTAGATTTGGTGCTCACAACGCGTTAGAAAAACATCTATAAATTGAGTACGGGTGTCACACAGAGATCGAGTGATTCATTAGTTCAAGATAAATACTGGAACTCTCCAATTCTTCGTGGGTTTTCATTTTACTTACGAATTATGCACATGCCTGTGTGTTCACACACCCCTACGTGTGCTATAAATACGTATCTGTTCACTGGACTTAGTCACACAGCCACACATTCCTCTTTCCTGTTACCTCAGGTCAGCAGGCCACACAGTGTGAACACATCTCATTTAATTTACACCCTCACGTGGCGTGACAGTCTTACTGTGAGTATGGTCATCCTTGGGTATCAGCAAGGGGTTGGTCCCGGAGCCCCCTGCGGAGAGCGAACCCCAGGATGCTCCTGTCCCTTAGAGGGGCCTGGGTATCTGTGCAGGTGGAGCCTGTGGATACTGGGGACAGCGGCACGAGAGAGTGGTGAAAACTGCAGGTCGGTGGTTAATCCCTCTCTCCCTTCTTCAAGAAATTCACATTTAGCTGTGCAAACATGATTTAATGAAGACGTGTTTTTCCGATTACAGACTTCCAATCGAAAAAAATGACGGGCCGAACGGTCCCTGCCCTCCGAGCTGGGCTGTGCAGCCTCGTTTCCTCGGCGTTGGTTTATTCTTCCCGCCGGTCGTGCAGGCCCGGCTGCGCGCAGGGGAGGGGTGAGCAGCAGGCCCTCGGCGCCCGGGTGGCCCCCTGGCTGGAGGGTGTCCCTGGCTATTTCACTTCCCATAAGTTTACGCTGCCCTAGCGGGACCACCGAGAGGCTGTTAGCATCCATCACAAGCCTGGGATATAGCAGCACAAAGTCTGAGGGCAGCTGACACCCTGGCTGCAGGGGAATGGAATTCACTGTGACGTCCTAGGGAACTCGGAGAAAGGCTGCAATGAGCGGAGGAGGGGGGCTGATGTTTTGGTCGCCTGCAGCGCGGGAGGAAATGCCAGACCCCTTCCCCGGACAGCAGCCCACGCACCCAGCCTGGGAGAGGGCCGGTAACGGTGTGGAGCCTCCGAGGACTGACAGGGGCAGGCAGGGGGGTTGTTCCTGACAGTGGATTTGGAAGCTGTCTCCAAACATGGGCTCACCATCCGTGTAGCTGTTGATCAAATAATAGCATTTATCAAACCCAGGGCGATGAATTTTTTTGTTTTCCTTTCACCTTAACTGTCTTACAACCCTGGGCAAGAGCTAAGTCAAGTGAGTGCTTTCTAAACTGAGGCGCTGGGAGTAAGGAGCTGTACTTGAACTAGGTTTTCTGCCCATTATATTCTAGGCGGCAGGCTCCTAGGGGACGTGGTCTACACAGGGCACGTAACAGCCAAATAACCTCTTTCAGGTCCACAGAAATGGCAGGACAAATTGTAATCATGAGTAAACTTCTGAATGGCATGCCCTTCAGTCTAAGCATATGTATCACAAAATATATATTTTTTCATGTAAATAAACATTACATTCCCTGCCTACTTTTGTCAAGAGTTAAAAATCCAGACGTAACGTTCTAAATTATAGAAAGACAAAACCACTTACAGCTACTGTACCTTCATTTCTCACACTACCAATTAAGAAATTCTGCCTCAAGAATGAATGTTTCTCTGCAATTGTCTACAAATCACCATTAATAAGATAATAGAGCAGAAAAATTAGTAGGGAGTTCATTTGATTTCTTTCCCCCTGAAGGCTGGTTTAGTGCGGAAATTTATCTACATTTCCTTTCTAGAGCGTTGTGAATGATAAATGAACTCCACTGAACAAAGGACATGACATTGCTATGCCTCAGATTTCTGTTTTCTTTCATCAAAATAGTCCACCTAGCAGAGTTCAGAGCTCAGTGCTTATCTCCCTGTAAGGAATATGCGGATTAACGAAACCCTCGAGGCTAACGAACGCCGTGGCGCACAACGGGCAAGAAGAAGGACCCTGACAGGGTCAAGTCCAGCCAGAAAGCGCTTCACTGTGCGGGTTTTTATCGGGCACGTCTGCTCTGGCTCCTTCGTTCTGCACGGGAAGGGCAACGGGAAACCGATTTTATGTTGCTTTCATCTCCAAGTTCAGTGGCTGCAGGACCAGAGAGGATGAAAAGACGCTTGTCCTGAAGCTGCAAGCGGACAGGACACCTTCCTCGCCCTGCCTTCCCTAGGCCTGCCCGCGGTTCCCCACCCAGCCAGCCTCCCCACGACCCCTCGGAGCAACGGTAACCCTGAGGGGTGACCAACGCTCAGGCGGTGCTGCTGAGGGCGGGCTCCAGGCAGAGGAGGAAATGCCTGGGCTCTTTTACAGTGGCCAGGAGGAAAGTCTCCTTATTGGCACTGGTTGATTTTTGAACTTGAGAAACATGGTGGTTAAATCCCTCATTTTACACCAGAGATGATATCACATGAGCGAGGAATTGGGCAAGGTGAGAAACGGCAACTGTGCAGAAAGGAAATATGAAAGGGGCTGGCCCTCAGAGGCCAAGGGTTATAAAGTGGGAAGCATTCTAGGAAAAATGTGTACAATTTGATTTCTGACTATTAAAAATCATGGCATTTTCTGAGTAAGCTACTATGACACTCAAACCCTAAGCAGCATTAGCATTAGGGGAAAATTCTATTTTGGATAGAAGAGTATTTACTAGCACTCACTTGCTAATATTAAAAGATAGTGAGAAGAAATCTGTAGTCATCTGTTTTCTAGACATAAAAAAATTAAAACATTAAAAATACTATAGAATCTAAGGAACAGAATAGATTGATGAATAAGGTAGGACCACAGACATGGAAGCATGGAGCAGACTGACAGACACAGAGGGAAGGAGGGCAGGGAGAGATTAGCCAAAGGACTTATAAGCACATATGCACAGCCCACGGACACAGGCAAGGGACAGGTGGGGG